GCATATTTCATTAGAAATTCAAATTTTTATAAACTTGGCTGTCAAACAAACACTTCCTGGTAGTTTCGTTCAGTTGGGATAAACTCAAGAGGCAGCAATTGCCCAGAGCACTTGCCTTGTAAAAACTTCTCATTAAGCTGCATTGGGAAGTCTGTGATTGGACAGCCACAGAAAGTGTGGGCGAGGTTGGAAGGGGAGGGCTTACAAAGGCTGAATACAAGAGATCTACAGCTATTGCAAGCTGTTTTTAGATTTACCCCCAAGGAAACAATGCATAATTAAATGTAGGCAGGGCTTCATCAGGAATTTATCTACTAAATAATGTTTTTTATTTTATTATTTTGGTATTAAAGTGTCCCTTTAAATTAATTAATTAGAAATAAAGAAACAAGGGTCTTTGTTGTTAAATCTCCTAATATTTACTCCCTCCAGAACAAAGAGTTCCCTGTGCACTATCCCAAATCCCTATGAACATTTAAAGAGCTAGAGGTTTTTTAATATCACTTCAGTGGCCTTAAAGTGTAAACTCTCCTGCCAATCCTTGATGATTTCAGCTACAAGGCAAAATCTCTAATGACCCAGAGAGGGGTACTTTTCACTTATTAACCCTTAATAGCAGCACTGTAACATGGATGTGTAATACAAATACATTGTAATATACAAAATCAAGTCCTGTGTTCAAACTCCCACTACTCCAAGGCAGCAACAATGGCGATAGCACACAACAGCTCCAATAACTAGAGTGAAACCCTTGAAAAACAGAGTTACCTGCACATTACCCAAAGTCCCTATGCACACTAATATTTAACATGAACGCTGGTTTTGTGATGGGTGACCAGTTTTCTTACATTATATTATCAGCCGCTGGTTCCTTTGGCCCTAACTCTCGGTGAACACTCCGGATACTGAATCTGCCGTGTTTGTTTAGTAAATAAAACAGAGAGGCAGGATGCAGCCAGGAAATCAAATCCCTCCGGAATATATGTAGCGGATACCTTTCACGCCTCGCAGGCCGCAGCGGGACAATGTTTGGAGATTTGCGCACTCTGGCGCACACTCGTACTTTGTGTTTTGTTTACTGGGTGAATCACTAACCTTATTTTTTGGCTGAGAATGTGTAATTCTTCACAAGAGTCAGGAACAGCAGAAAACAGCCGCGGACAGCCGCAGAAAAGCTCAATATCGGATTTATTTTATTTATAAAAGAAATTGAAAGGCTGAAAGGATTGTGTAATTGACTTAGTGGGATGACAGTTAAACCCTCTAAATTTAATCTTATCCACTCAAGTACAACATATCTTGCTTACAAATTATCACCCCGTGGCAGGCAGGCTGGCTGGCGGTACCTAATCCAAATGGAAATGAAGACCCTGTTATTGTATTATCTCACTTTTCTATCAGCATTAATCCAGCTTTACTCGTTTAATGATACCACTTGTGGCGCGAGAGAAGTCTATGAACTGCTTCCATTAAAATGCAAATCGGGCCCTCAGAGAAAATGTGTGACACGCAAGTCGGGGATTCGGCCATAGCTGTGTGTCTGATACGCGAATAATAACTGATGCTCTGATTATTAATCTGCTGGTGGATTTCAAATGAATCTCAGTTGGTTAAACCGCCGAACGTCACAAAGATGCCTCGTCGAGTCGGCCCTCTCATTTCTAAAGAGATTTCTATTTTTTTGTTGTCAGGAAATGAACAAATACTTATTAATGTTAAAGCGCGGTATCGTCCATCTCCCCAGCTGGGTTTCTTTGGCGGATATTGTTTGCCGTGTGCGACACAGGATATGAAAGCTTTTCCCATTAC